GTGCTCAATTTGGATTTTACTCCCACATAGTCTTCTCAGTGAGAGGCATTGTCTTAGAAGGAAACTTCTTTCACACTAGAAGAAAAGATGGGGGAAAAGCTCCATAACATTGGTCTGGGCAATGATTTTTTGGATGAAAACCCAAAAGCACAGGCAACAAAAGCAAAAATAGACAAATGGGATTATATTGAACTAAAAATCTTCTGCATAGCCAAGGAAGAAATCAACAGAGTGAAGAGACAATCTACAGAATGGGATAAAATATTTGCAAACCATATATTTGATAAAGGATTAATATCCAAAATCTATAAGGAACTCAGACAACTCAATAGTAGGCAAACAAATAACCTAATTAAAAAATGGGCAAAGGATCTAACAGACATTTCTAAAAAGAAGAAGGAAGCTTTATTCTGTTAATGTCTAGCGTTTCTAGCACCCAAAATGTCCCAGCACATCAGACTTGTTGCATCATTGTCATCTTGCTCCCACCCACAAAGTCATCCCCTGAGAACCCCTCTTGGTTCCAGCTGCTGTTCTGAGATGGGTTCTCCATGCTTTTAGGTTCACAGCAAACAGTGAGTACCTGTTGGTAATGTGGGTGTTTCGTTGTTCACAGGGATGTCAGATGTTGTCCAGGGATCTTGCCATTTATTTATTTATTTCTTCATTCACTCATTTATGCATTCATCCATAGTATAATACAATTTCAGAAGTATTAACCCATGTAAAACAAATTTATAATTACAGTATTAATGTCACTTCTTTTTGTATTTAGCCTTACTTTTCAATGAAAGCACTATTTTTCAGTATTACTTAGGCCATCATTTTACCCTACATCCTTCAGTAAAGTTATATCTTATATTTGTAATACAGTTAGATTCATTTGCCACAATCTTCTTTTCATCCTAGGATTGCCCCAAATCCTGCTTCATATTTTAAAATTTTATACATTCATGTTTACTCTTTGTGATGTACAGTTCCATGAGTGTGGGCAACGCATAGAGTCACATACCTACCACCGCAGTACCATATACAACAGTGCCATCACACTAAAAATTCCCTCCTGTGTCTCCTTTGTGATCAACTACTCCACCCTCTCCCAATCCCTGTCAACCACCGTGCTGTTTTCCACCATTACAGTTTTGCATTTTCCAGAATGTCATATGAATGGAATCTTTTTGCATGGCTCAAATAGCTCATTCATTTTCATTGAGGAATAGCATTTCATTGTACGGATATAGCATTGTTTACTTTTTTCTTTTCTTTTCTTTTTTTTTTTTTTTTTTTTTTTTGCTTTGCTGCTCGGTCTCACTATGTTGCCTGGGCCAGCCTGAAATTCCTAGGCTCAG